ACTGTGTCAAGTCTTGCTTTCTTTTTTTTTTTTAAATTAAATCATAGCTGTGTAAAAATGTCATAAGTTTTATAAGATTTTTTTTGGATGGCAGGTCAAAACACAGTGATACTAGGGTATATGAAAAGCAGAATTCTTTGTTACTTAGGCATGCTCAGAGGGCTGCACTCGGGGGCAAGCTGGAGCTGTGGGGGAAGTTTTTATATATGGCCAGTACAGTGGGCTGGGGTTCTAGGGATCCATATGGATTGGCTAATTTGAATAAGTTTGTGGACTCCAGGACATAGAGGCTGTCCTTGATTGTCTGGTATTAGCCCCCAGAATGTAGGAGCCTAATAACAGAGGAACTTGGATTGTCTCTGTAGAGGGCTTGGAAAGAAAGGGACCCTGATTAGGGAAGTGGTGAGGTGAGGGGTTAGCAAACGGTCTTCAAAGGACAGAGAGAGGAAACTTTTTAGTTACAACTTCAAAACTAGGTCAAGACAAGTCTTGTGAAATGTTCTGTTACATCACAGAAATGGAATTACACACTATGGCCTGTGTGTGTGCATCTGCCTTTTTGTACTTAGCATAATGTCCCCAGGGCTCATCTGCATTGTAGCGTGTGTCAGAATTCCCTTTCTGTTTATGGCCAAATAATATTCCATTGCATAATGGTACATTTTGGCCAGTGGAGTGGGCTGGGGTTCTAGGGATATTGATCCATTTATCTGTTGATGTACATTTGGGTCATTTCCACCTTTGGCTCCAGTAACTAATGGGTAAACATGGGTGTGCACACTTTGGTGTGAACACCTGTTTTCAATTCTTTTGAGTGTGTGCCCAGGAGCAGGTTGCAGGGTTATATGGTAACTATGTTTAAGTTGGCCAGGAACCTAAACTATTTCACAGCTGCTTTTCTCCTCTAACATCGCATGCTGGCAGGTGTACAGACAAGCTGCACAGCTTACGGAAGCCTGGGTGCCCACCCCCAGATTTACCCTTATTTGCTTCCCCCTTTCTTTGTCTTGAAAGCCTGGCTAAAATGCTGCAAAATAAGTTGCATGACATTTCCTCCACAAATGCTTCAATTCACATTTCTTCATAAGAATATTCTCTTCCGGCTCGGCACCTGTGGCTCAAGTGGCTAAGGCACCAGCCACATACACCTAAGGTGGCGGGCTCGAATCCAGCCCAGGCCCGCCAAAAAACAATGACGGCTGCAACCAAAAACTAGCCGGGCATTGTGGCAGGTGCCTGTGGTCCCAGCTACTTGGGAGGCTGAGGCAGGAGACTC